AAACTTTATCTGCAGACTGAATGTAATGTTAACTTAAAGAAAACAAAATTTCCTTCTAGATACTAGCATTTGATCATAAACAAGCTTCTGTTAAAGTTTGGTGCAAATCCAAAATAGTATAAGAAAGTTATTAAAATTTTAAAAACTTTAACCACAGAGTGAATGTGTTGTTTCCTGGCAGAAAATCTAAGTCCATTTAAAAGTAAAATACGGAAAAAATGGATTTATTATTTTACAAAATTTCCTTCTGGATACTATCTTATGATCATAAACAAGCTTCTGTCCAAGTTTGGTAGAAACCCAGGATAGTTTAAGAAAGTTATTAAAATTTTAAAAACTTTAACCATAGAGTGAATGTAATATTTCCCGGCAGAAAAACTAAGTCCATTTATAAGTAAAATATGGAAAAAATGGAATTTTATTTTTACAAAATTTACTTCTGGATACTATCTTATGATCATAAACAAGCTTCTGTCCAAGTTTGGTAGAAATCCAAGGTAGTTTAAGAAAGTTATTAAAATTTGAAAAACTTTAACCACAGAGTGAATATTTGTGGACGCCGCCGCCGACGACGACGACGCCTACGCCGACGGAATGTAGGATCGCTATGTCTCGCTTTTTCGACTAAAGTCGAAGGCTCGACAAAAATGAATGTAATTATGGGTTGTATAGCGTTTACATTTATTAAAACAAAAAGTAGACTGCCCTTTCATCTTTTTATGGATATGTTAAAACCCAAGAATAAAGGACAATTTGTAAAGTTCATTAAGCATGACCCTTTCATCTTAGAAAAAAGGCATTATGAGACCTTAAAAAAAATCTATCAAAGGAATAAAAAATAACTGGTATAAACTTTCATATTTCTATTCATCTTATACCATTCTTACTAACTTGCTAGTTAATAGTCACTGATAATTAAGTACTCCTTTATATAAATACATGAATGCTACCTAAATATTATTTTAAGCTCCTGGATACCCTTAATTATATTAGATGACCGTGAAGACTGTCAAAATATAGGTTCAAATTCTTCTATTACAATCTTACAAAAAAGTTTTACACGATTTTTCTCAAAACATTGTGACGTCACACATTCAATTATACGAGGTATATTTAAACCTAAATAATAGTTCTCTAAACTGACATTCATGATGTAAATACATAACAAAAATATTATGTTTTTCAAATATTGAATATTACACTATCTACAATAATACTGACTTTAAATATTAAGTTCTTGTGAACAGACTGTTGAAAATAAGATTTAAACAGTAAACAAATTGCCAACAAAATATTATTTTCCATAAATATAGCTGACATATTTAAAATAGTATGTACCAAAGTTAAACATAATTCTAAATTTAAAGCTTGAAGTCCTCATTGTGCAGTTAGAACTGAATATTTACATACAAAACAAACATATGCACATCTTGAGTAAATATATCAATCTTTGCTTACTCACACAGTGGATTCATTTACTTTCGTGGATACCAATTTTCATGGATTGAGGGAAAATTGTATTATTTTGAATATTTGATTTTGTAGTTTTGTCAAATTCTGCATACAAGCCTATAGAAAATTTGTACTTAGTTTATATTCGTGGTTTATAGCCTTTACCCACGAAATCCACGAAAATTGGTATCCCAGGAATAATAATGAATCCACAGTAAGTAAGTAAATATAAATACAGAGATTCCTATTCCAATGCATGATAGTTGCAACAACACATTTATTAATATGGTAATGTGCCTTTCAGTTGAATGCCTAATATATATCTCCTTTTATTCCTTATTTATACTTAATTTGTTGTAAAACTATTGTTGAGAAGTCCCTCGTTCAATCCCTTGCTCTCCATGCCATTATATGAAAGATTTCAAAAAAAATAGTATTTGCTGCTTCTCTGCTATCTGCAAAGCAGACAACTTTCAGAATTAAATGCCAAATCCATCAGTTTTTAGGGTATAACTATTGTTAAGAATTCCCTGGTTTAATCCCTTAACGGTAATGACCCCTATTATATGGAAAACTTCAAAAAACTATTATTTGATGCTTCTCTAGATCTGCAAAGCAGACAGCTTTCAGAATTAAATGCCAAATCCATCAGTTTTTAACATAAAACTATTGTTGAGAAGACCCTGGTTCAATCCCTTGACCCCCATTATATGAAAGACTGCAAAAAATTATTATTTACAGTTTCTCTGTAAAGCAGAAAGCTTTCAGAATTAAATGCCAAATCCATCAGTTCTTTTTAAAGAAGACTGTCATATCAAATATCATTTGTCTCCTTCCTACATTGTAAGTAATAACCATTTAAAGCCATAATGCAGTATATTTCTAGCTTTAGAATCAATAAGAACATCTAATAGGCTCGTTATAACACTTCAGCTTTTCCGTCTGTAGGAAGTCTGTAGGAAACGTTTCAAAGGAGGACAATTTCTGAAGTTGGAAATAATCTGTTAATTGCCTGGTTTAAGAAGACAAATCTATATGAAAAAGGCTAATCAATATGGAATTCTTACAGAAATGTGTATGCCACATTAGTAATCTACACTTAAAACAAGATTTTAAACCATTTATACATTCAGGTAATTAATGCAAGAGAAAGTAGCAGGAAGCAAAACTTTTGTATGAGTCAGATATTTCTGACTGCATGTTTAGATATATTAGCCAATTTATTATAAAAATCAGTCATGTAAAAAAAAGAAAAAAACAGATAAAATTCTGCATCAGGTTAGTAAGGCCTAAAAATTGGTCTAATTGATAAAAAAAAAATCATTTTACATATTGATTTAGGGGTAATTAACATATTGTCAGCCAATAAAGTGTAAACTTAGTTAGGACAAGATTATTAATGCTGAAAAATTGTCAATTGTAACTGAAATAACCAAGCATAAAGTTTACAACATCAGAAGGCCATAACTTATAATTGCTTATATCCATGCATGTCATTTGAACTCTGATGGATAGTTGTCTCATTGGCAATCATACCACATCTTCTTATTTTTATAAGCAGTTCAGCTTCATAAATTTTCCTTTGTACGGTTGCATTAAATGGACATCAAACTCAGTGAACTTAGTATTTTTCTATGACAGCAACTTACTATTACTTTATATCCCAGCATTTTACCTATTTATATTTCATGCAAATTTGTTTAACTGCTTCCCACTGAACCTTGCATAAATTTGTGTAACAATAGACTCTATATGAAGATGAAATAATTTTTTTATACATTTGTGTAACTTTGAAGGTTAATGTTCGTAATAATTAACATTTTTATGACAAAAAAAACGTGAATGAAAGGCTATAAATGAGATCTATATTACCATTAGATTTGATGTAGAATAAGATTTTTAGATCTATTTCTATCATACGCAGCTGTAAATTCTGAAATGCTCTTCATTCCCGACTTTCTGTTGATACATTATTTGTAATGTGAAATTTTATCATTTTCCAAAAATAAGTTTGCATACAAGTGTTCTCCTTGAATTGGTCATTTCATATATATGAGACTGAACAAATTAATGAAAAGTTAACGAATTGAATCATTGACGACTGTAGTTTGCTGTGTATCATATTGCCTAAGACTTGGTTATTAAAGCTGCTTATTATTGGTGATTGAATTTTCTGGTTAGAATGAACTATCAATACTGGAAAATTGATTAGATTCTATTTCAACTGAGCGTTAATTGATAACTGCATTTTCCACTACCTGTTTCGCAGAACTACAATAAATCTAATTTCAAATGAAACATTTCAAACTGTACATGATTTCATCATCATGGATCATACCTACCCTTACTAAATTTCAGTTGACAACTAAAACTAAAGTTGTAGTTTTTAATGGAAGCATTACTGAAATCAGACCTTTCTTCACTAGACATTCACTGTATGCTGAACTTTTTTTTTTGTTATGGCATGAAACATGTAACTTATCAAAGGTACAAGTCTCCAGTCATCAAATATATGGAATGATGCATGAAAAACAATTTCATTTTATCCTTTTCATATTAATCTGTCTTAAATGAAATCATAACTACACTGGTTTTAGTCAGGATTGTGAATCCCTAGTGATTTTATTTATGATAGAAGAAAACTTCTCAGAAATATTGATAGAAATAAGTCTATATTTCTACTACAACACAAAATATCTTAGTAATCCCTTTTTCTGTCCTTAAAGTGATCAAGTTGATTATGAAAGGTCCTATAGATGTAATTCGAATAACTTTTGCCATGTATTTAAGGTTTTCATTACGTGTTTCATTTTTCAATGTAAAAATAAGGAGATCATGTGGTATGATTGCTAATTAGACTATCACCACCAAAGTTCAAATGAAGTGGATGTAAGGTAATATAGGCAACCATACAGCCTTGAACAATGAGAAAAACCCATACCATACATACTATATAATGTTCATTATGTTTTTCATTTATTTAGATACATGTATTATAGGCAAGGGGAGCACTTATAGAAAAAGTTTGCATCTGTTGTTGGTCCCACTACCAAAATATGTTTCAATTTCCATTCTTAAAAATTATTCCTGCTCTATTTTAATGTATCAAGTAATTTGTACAACAATACTTTGTGTTTACTTATATAATGCTTTATTATTATTTCAACTGAGGCAAGAAAGGAAATTTTTTTGCTTGTTATGATAGTGTATAAAAATTATTTAACTTAAATTTAGTCCTGACACTGAAGAATATAAGTGTAAAATAAATATTCTGGTATATATAATACCAGAAATATCAAATAAATACAAAAACAAAATAATAATCTTTTGTACAAATTATTAATTAATACTTGTAATCTTATGGTTGAAAATTTTGCAGGCATGAAGAAAACTTTACCCATGATGAGTATTTAGATTTTTATCTTACATCCATTAGCCCTCTAACACTATATAAATTCATTAAATTTCTATCACACAGATTAAACATTACCATAATGACCTCAATTTTTTGCAGGTTGAGGCATCATAAATCATTTCAATAGACTTACAAGTTCCTCCTTGTCAATAATTGGCTGTTTGTCCACTGTTCCATAATCATCATATTGATATGGGCCACCATTTAATCCTCGTTTTTCACTCATTTTTCAATGTTTAACATCCATCTCTGTAAAAGACAAGCATGTTACTGACAAGTTTCGGATCAATATTAATTGTGAATGGAAAGTGTTCGTTCCGTCTCTTGTGGCTTACTTGACTTCCTTTAAATAGTTACACTTCGTGTTAGTTGAAGTAGATAAATTATTCATCCTTGTTTTCAGTTGCATTTGCTACATAAGCTTTCACAATTATCAATAAACTCTTATTACCTGACTACACAACCGTAACATAAAAATATCACAAAAATTCACTGATGCTAACATGAACATTTATAACAATGAAAATGATACAGGGAAATCTCCAATAATCAATCTACTTACATATGATTAGATCAGGTGAAAAGGAATTGTTTATGTGAGACAATAATATAGATAAAAGCATTCAGGAATTGACATGGTTTGACATTTAAATTTTTAATAAGGTACAATAACATGTACAACTGTACAATGGAAGGAATAGTACAATCTAACAATAGAGCAGTATATTTGCATGGCTCAAGTAATTTAGTAATTAAAATCAGGTTTTGTAATTTAAAGGTTCAAAAACTCAACTTGAGTAGAGGTCTACATTTGAACAAGTGTTAATAAATTATCAAGGGTGAATACAGTGTTGTCAACACACATTAAACAAATTTGATGAAGAAAAAGAATCATGATTCATTAATAGGAATTCAATGGAGAAAACTGCATCCAAATCAGATTTCTTGAAAAGTGGTGTTCCGAAGGTTTTGACCACCAAAATTTTGCAAAGGACTGACACAATTTTGGTATTCTGCAATAAAAATAATATTGAGGACCAGCAGATTTTCTTTAAGGATCACCAGGAGAAAAAAGATTTTGAAATTTTGAGAACTCTGCCAAATAATACAAAAATAAATTAGATACTACCAAATAGGTGCAGGTTGATCAGTTTCAGAACTTTTAAACTCTTGTTATCTTGGAAACTGCAAGACTTGGTTTAATCTTGGTTGATGAAAAGGAAAAAGAGAATTTCAGAATTAATCTAAATAGAAAATCAATCTACAACTAATATAGAATCTACTAGTACTGCTATATGATATTATATAATTTCTCCTCTCAAGACTATCAAATTTTCAAATTTAGAGACAAGGCTTGCTAAGTGTTTTACATCTTTAATATCCAATTTAATTTTTGAGAATTATTATTACACAAGATTCTATTGTGGAATATGCTTCTATACTATGATTTCAAGACAATAAGTAGGCAATTTTGTCCCTTTTCTCAATGATGTGCAAAAAGATCCTGTTTATTTTCTGTGTGATATCATCAATCATGGTCACCTTTATTTTGATACATGTATGATGTAACAATCAAATTTTGACCAATGAAGTCAGAACTGAGATCTAGTTGACCACACATTCATTATCCAAAAAAATATCAACAGCTTTAGGAAACTATAAATTGGCTTAAAATCAGCAAGATTAGAGTAAACATTACCCTGTGTCTGGTCTAGTCCAATCTGTGTTTTGATTCTGTCTCATTAATTACAATAGGTATAAAATTTAAAGTGAATGCATTATTTATTAAACTCTTGACTCCTTACATGTCCAAATTTGGTTTCACTTAGGGTCCTTTTTAGTTGATCAGCTCTTCAACAATTGTTTAAGTTTCATGTTTTCAAAAATTTGGGCCTCAAGCATCACTGAGGAGACATTTATTGTCAAAATGCTCACTTGGTGCAGTAAAATTGGTACCATAAATGCTATTGAACAGAAAAATGTCCTTTATTTCTATGAAATAAATTAAGTGACAAGGAATAATAATATCAAGGAAATTTTAATTGAATAAAACAATTTCAAATCATTACATTATATGTATGTTTTACTAGAATCTGTAATTTAATTTGCTGACAACAATAGTGAGGCACTCCAATATCCTATCTTATTTCTGTATAATATACAACAGCTATGACTGCACGTCCTATCCTTGACAATGTTAAAATAATGCATCGAAAAACATACAAAAAGCTTGATATAACTCTTAAATTTTCATGGTTGTAGCATAAAAAATGTAATTATAAGAATTGAATGTTTTTTTCATAATTTTATACAGTGGTATTAGAGTTGATCTTCTGTGCTAAATACAAAACGAGCTTTTGAACTTTCTCACAAATAAAATGTTCAGTTGGATGCCACCATGAGTTGGTTGACCGTTATATCTGTATCACAGATGACAACAGATATGTTCCAATTGTTGTAACTACAATCCCATCCTCTTTTCCTCGAATGTGACCTACTGAATTAGACTTATTACCAAGTATGTACTTATATGAGCAACACAACAGGTACCATATGTGGTGCAGGATTTACTTTACTTTCTGGAGCAACTGAGATCAACCCTGGTTTTTGGTGGGGTTTGTGTTGCTCAGTCTTTATTTTTCTATGTTGTTTTTCGTATACTGTTGTTTTTCTTTTGGTCTTTTTTGTTTTTTGGCATAGCGTGTTATACATATGATACATGTACTAGTCACTGAGGCATTACATACCTCAGAGAGCAAACAGTTATCTAAAATAGGCCTGTGCTAATTTCTGGTTTTTTTTTTAGTATACACAAGATCCATGCATGTTGAAGGCCGTACGGTGACCTATAGTTGTTTATTTCTGTGTCATTTGGTCTCTTGTGGAGAGTTGTCTCATTGGCAATCATACCACATCTTCTTTTTATATTTATATACATGTATATAAGCTTCTTTAGCACTAAGTACTATAGATATTGGATTCAAATTTATTCTTGACACTTTTTAAAGGGGCATTAGCTATGAGATATAAAAAAATTAAAGATATCATTTTTTTTTGTTCAATCATTAATGAAAGTGAAATAGTGAAATAATAATTCGCTTCAAGCAGCCAGTTTGGTTCAATTCTGTCAAGCTAAGAAACACCACTGATGAATTATTCACTTGCATAATACTTCGACCTCATTGAATCCATATTCTGTGACCTTCAACATGTTCAATTTAACCCCTTACCTAGAGATTGGGTTACGCATGAACTAGGAGTGTTCAGCTATTAAAAGGAAAAGAATGTCAACATTGAAAGTGAAACAAGGGTAAACCATTTGGTTGACTGATTCGATCCACAAAAACTCCTTCTTATACAGGTATAAAAGATTTGTTTAACCTATAATATGAAATCGAACAGACCTAGAAAAATCCAATTGCACGAGTTCGCTATCTATTTATATCTATATGCATGTTTATATCGGGTTAAATGACCATCAGCAGTCTTCAGAGGTCACCTCGATGGTTAATTAGATGGAGTCTAGACTAAAATATGCACGAAACGCTGATACATGTTATAGTGTTCATGCATCGTAAATTGATTATTTTAGACTTTTTATAATTTGGATATACGTTTTAGTATGTTTTAAGTCCAATATGAGAAATTGAGTCAAATCGGTAACATGAATTTTACAGCTAATGAATGCCCTTTAAATTTGTACTTTTTATTTAAACCAATTTCAGGGGTGGATTCAGGCGGGGCATTCCCCCCCCCCCCCCCCCCCCCCCCCCCTAAAATTTGCAAAGCATTGGTTGCCCTCAGCTTAATAAAGAATATTTCGATAATTTAATCTCAAAATTTTTTTTAAGTTTGCGCCCCCCCTAACCTATATTCCTGGATCTGCCCCTGAATATATTTTATTTTTATTATTTTCTGTAAACCATTATAATTGAATAGACCACTTTCGAGTTTGTCCTTCACCGAAAAAAACTCGTCAATTATGCGCGCCTTTATGATGTCATTTACCAGATAGAGGGGATCGCCTGTATCCCTGCACTATTAACGTTCATCAAGCGTCTTAGTGATCGTCATTGTGCAGGACAAAATAGAAATAATGTTTGTTTCGTAGGTACTGAATCATAATTCCCTAATGATAGCAGTGCTGATTGTCAATTATGAGAATTTAATTTGCCGAATAATTCGTGCAATATAGCATCATAGTTTTCCAACCACTCGCTCAACATGGGAACGGAGGTGACGATGCCCCTAAACGCACGAATGATGCTCACTATAACCAAAGTTTTTGATGGAAATGCATCGAACTCTAAAGTTGTCTATTCAATTGTATATAAGGGGACGACCATTTGATATTCTGGGGGGGGGGGGGGGGGGGGGGGCCAGGAGGATTTGTTTTGGATGGGTTATTTATTTTTGTGGACCAAAAGGACAGATTATTTATTTTCTGCACTGTTGAAGCATGATTTTTCATTTTCATTAAAACAAGGGACAGATTATCTATTTTCACAATTATATTATTAATATTTGAAAACATACAATTTTTAAATTCTTAAATAAATAACATAGTCAATTAAGTCAATCAGCATTATCATCATCCTCTGTAAGTTAATCTTCTGAATTGCAAACTGCATATATTGCATACATACAAGGAATTAAAGCTGGGCTGTAACTAGCCTCTTTTAAAAGTTGTCAAACATATATGCCGAGCGGAGCGAGGCGAAAAAAAAACAACTAAGAGTCTGGGGTTAGCTGAACCCTCCAAGAAGCTATAGAAAAATGGTGCAAAATCATGCATTATGCACGTTTCCCAGACCCTTTCTTTAATCTGAAACGCAAGTTCTGTTTTAATTTTTTGACAATATTCTGGTTTCAAAGCAAAATATATAGATTCAGTGTAAGACTTTTAGTATTTAGGGACAACATCAAAAGACCAATATGTAGGAAAAAGCAAAAAATGTTTCAGTTTGCAGAAAAACCTTTTATACCTGTCAATTATGTTTTTTTCAATTTAAGTTAAGAGGGGGCTGATTATCATTGATATAACTATGTCAAGTCAGTTTTTATAACACATTTCAATTACAACTTGATGTAGTTTTGTTTTGAAATTTCCAACATGAGGCATTTGCCTCAATGTAGTTACGGCCCTGTAATAAAAGTGAGGTTAATGTTCATGAGACAATATACCTCAAGTGAAATGAAACCCATTTTCAAACATTTCAAATACATTAATATTTACATTATTAAAGTTTTTCCCGAAAAAAATATGAAAAAAGATGAATTTTGGAAGAATCTGGTGCCATCTCATACTTCAGAATAACATTTATAATATGGCTTAGAAGACCTGCCAAGTTATTTTCAATACATTGTAAGTCAGGTTATTTATTTTCAAACTACCACAGAACAAACCATTCATTTTTGTTATTATCAAGGCTGATCGAGTTATTTTCAAAATCCTCCTGCCCCCCCCCACCCCCAGAATATCAAATGGTCGTCCCCTAATTATGTTACTATTATTTCAAATATGATGTTTACTCGAAATAAAGCTAACCATTCCTATACAGGGGTGTAGCATTGTAAGCATGTGCTTTATAATTATATCCCCATATTATGAAACTTTTTTTTCAATAAGAATTCTCTTATAATCGTTCAGCTACTGCAGTACTGGGGTGCCTGCTGCCCCAAGACCCCTGCTTACAATCATTTTTCCAGTGGTTACACCAAGTGTTGCTATACAGTATACCCATGTGATACATGTGAATGCCATGTAGGACTGTAGTGCACTAAAAGTGGTGACTGTTGTATTGAACATTGCTGGTGATTAAAATGCAAGAATTATAAGATAAAAATTACCTGTATATAAAAAGCTTGTACCATCTCCATATCAAACCATCATACCGTATCTAACCTATATTTACTGGGACAACACGCTCAAGAAAACCCGTCTGCTAGCATTGCCCCGTTCACCCCAGTAATTTGTAGTACCCGGAATGAAACGGAAATGCCAGGTATATCCGCACTCTTAACTGTAAAAAATATAGTGGATTAAATATAACAAGAATTAAACAAGAATTTATATAGTACCAGGAACATATATATTGATGAAGATATACTGTTCCCAGATAGTACTAATAAAATCCCTGTTTATATCAGAGACATATGATACAGTTATATTATATTATATGTCTCTAGCCAGTCATATACATTGAATTTTTTAACCATTACGGAACTTTATAGGGCCTACATGAAGTACATGACATTAAAATTCACTGCAAGTTGATAAGGGTAAATTTCAACCTGAAGTTTATCTAAGTTTAACGTTCTCAGATTTGTCTCTTACTTTGATCACAACAGCTAAAAATTCCCTTGAAGAACCTTCGTGTCATGAAATTTAATTATACTCGACGGACGTATATAGAGAGGCAAAACTGAGATGCCAAAGGGATATTCAAACTCATAAATCCAAAACAAACTGACATGGCGAACTAGAGGTTCTAAAGAGACTTTGTCATTCACCTATATCTATATGTATCTTCAACAATGACTCTACAACATTGTAGACTAAAATATAATTCATGACAAAAATCTCTTTTTCGTTGATCTTGTATTGCTGGTCATTTTTTTTTTATACGGTTCCTCTCAATCTTCTTTAGTTTTTACCCAAATTGTCTTAAGGGCATTCACTCCTATAAAGATTCTACTAACGATTTTGGCAAAATTTGACTTATTTGTAGATCTTGCGTGTTGGTCGGTTTTGCTATTTAAAGTGTCTATCTATATTTATAGTTTTCAAGATAATAGGCCAAAAAATAAAATATTGATAAAAATCGTCATTAAAGAGCAAGAACTCCAAGAAGGAGTCGACTGACAGACGATTTCTGCTTTGTTGACTTGTTTGTAGATCTAGTCTTGCTGATCATTTTTGCTATTTAAGGCGGTATCTGGCTATAATAGTTTTCAAGATAAGAGGCAGAACACTGAAAATGGATAAAAGTCACTAAAGAGCAACAACTCCAATATTTAAAGGAGTGAACTAACGATTTTAGCCAGTAGATTTATTTGTAGAAGTCACTAAAGAGCAACAACTCCAATATTTAAAGGAGTGAACTAACGATTTTAGCCAGTAGATTTATTTGTAGATCTTGTCTAGTTGATCATTTTTGTTAATGTAAGTTTCTATGTATTTATTTTAGTTTATTTTCAGATTTAAGGCAAAAACGCCAAAATATGGTAAACATTCTCATTTAAGCCGGAGTTTAGACGATTTCATCCATGTAGACTTATTTGTATATCACTGATCATTTTGCTTACTTAAGTTTCTATCTTTCTATGATAGTATTTCAGATATTAGACAAAAATGCAAAAATTGGTAAAAATCGTCTTTAAAGGGCAATAACTTCAACAAGGGGTCCTCAGATGATTTTAACAACGTGTTTAACTTATTTGTAGAGCATATCTCGTTGACCATTTATGCTTATTCAAGTTTCTATCCATCTATTATAATGGTTTTTCAGATATAAGGCAAAAACGCAAAAAGAATATAAAAAAAATATTAATTACAGGGCAATAACTCTAATAAGGAACCGTCCGAAGATCTCATTCATGTTGATTTATTTGTAGATTTTGTCTTATTTATGATTTTTGCTATATAAGTTTTTTTCTCTATCTATTATTATGTTCAAGATAATAGGCAAACATGAAAAAAAGGTCAAATTCGTCATTTTAGGGCAATAACTCCTATAAGAAGTCGTCCGACACTTTTGATTTAATGGTCAATAGGTAGATCTCGTCATTCTAAATATTTCTGCCCTGTCAGAGTTTCTCTTTTTATAGCGGTTTTCAGATAATAGACAAAATCTGTATTTTACCTCTATTTTCTATTTTTAGCCATGTTGGTTGGCAGGCGGGGTCATCGAACACATTTTTTAAAACTAGATATCCTTAGTATGATTGTGGCCATGTATTAAAAAAATGGCCAGAGGAGAAGATTTTTATGACGACGGAGACGACTACGAACGCCAAGTGATGAGAAAAGCCCTTTGGGTCATGTGAGCTAAAAACAAAAAGCTGATATCGACATCACATATCGGTGTGTTCGATGTAATGTGTAACTTTTTGTACGTCGCAGTAAAGAAAATATAAACCAGCGTCTTGGTTTAGTATCAAAAGGTATCAATCAGTACACATCAACGGATTCTTAAGCGTAAAAGACGTCATAAACAGTCTGCTCAACGCATGACCTTGTGCAATGTCAAAAAATAAGTAAACAGTATCGACAAGATGTAGGATCGTGATTAGTCATAACTGTATATATAGCAAAATGTTTTAATTTATCAAAAACAAAATAAATGTGTCTAGATTTTACTACGGTGTTAAATTGATAACCTTTAAGAATAAGTTTATGCAAAGGACCAATGAGTTAACTTGGAGGTATCTCAGTTTACAGGCTCTATAACCAACATCGCCATAAAAATAGGATGTGATATCTTGTTTTTAATAATAATCCTACAGGTACAGCCAAACTTCCTAACCAAATCTTTGTATTCATGAAAGAATTTAGTAAAATCATAGACCTTCACTACTGATCCAATGGATGGATCTGTCGTAGAGTTGTCACTTGTTTAGACGTACTTATCAAAATAATTATTTCTGTGACTGTATCTTACGATCCTTTACGATAGGTATTTAGCTAATCTGCAATCAATTCCGTCTGCATGCCTAATATATCATGTACTGTGTTACAACTCTAGATTCTACTGACGAGGAAAGGTAACACTAGGCCACAAAAAGCTAAATTATTAGTTCAGTGTAGGTGGCTGAGTGGTCTAGAGCGCTGGACACAGTGCAGGCGGTGTTGTCTCGATATTCCAGTAGCATGAGTTCGAATCCCGGCGAGGGAAGAACAAAAGATACAACATTGTTGTACTGATATTTAGAGTAATTATGAATATATATATAAATGGTAAAATTTGAAAGTTTTAATTAATTTGTGGTAACGATCCGAAATTCCTGACTGAACGATTTACCAGTTATACATAAATTAGTTTAATTGAAATCTAAAATGCGAATAGGAAACTGGCATTTTAGTCTTAGATACATGATTTTTTTCATTAGTTGTTATTGACTTTGAACTAGCTGTTAGTAACTGCGAGTACTCTCAGATCTGTACTTAAGAGTATTTTTGTTTTTGGGATGTATAAGTACCCGTCCACGTCCACTCTGTGTTTCTGTTAGATTTAATTCTATTTGTATCCATCTGATGAGTTAAGCCTTTTTCAACTATTTTTTTATAATTTGTTCTTATGTTGTACTGTAACTTGAACCACTGTCCCAGGTTAAGCGAGGAGGCTTGAGCGCTCACAAACATGTTTAACCCCGCCACATTCTTTATGTGCCTGTCCCAAGTTAGGAGCCTGTAGTTCAGTGGTTGTCGTTGGTTCATGTCTGTCATATTTGTTTTTCATAAATTGTTTTGTTATAAATAAGGCCGTTAGTTTTCTCAATTGAATTGTTTCATGTCTTTCATGTCGGGGCCTTTTGTAGCCTACCATACGGTATGGGTTTTTTCTCATGGTTAAAGGCCGTACGGTAAAATTGCCTAAAATTGCTTACATCCACTTCATTTGAACTTTGGTGGGTAGTTGTTTCATTGGCAATCATACCACTTCTCCTTATTTTTATATAGCGAACAAGTTGTGAAATATACACACCGTAAGAGGGGAGCCAGAGGAAATATAACACCGTAAAATCGTGGGCTACATTTACTGTAAAGTCTGTTTGGTCTATAATTGACAATGTGGCTGCTTTAAACGCAAAACCGTTTTCTATGCAGATTTATTTACACACGTTTACAGTTTGAAATACAGGGTAAAACTACACAGAGACATATATACAATATATATTTATGTGTCTCTGGACTGCCTATAAGCAACAATTTACAAAAACAATCAGTCATACATTCAAAATTAAACGCTAAGTGTTCTTTATTAAAAAAATAATAATACTATTATTGTCCAATCTTATATAATAATAATCGGAAGTTAGTGTCCTCAGTGCAAAATGCGTAAAACAGCGATAACTGCTTCTTTGAAGTTGACGAGTATGAAAAGACTCAATCTAATTAAAATATAGATCTCTGATTTCGTTATACTCATTTGAGTTCGACGCAAGTTACGATAGATCGATTAGATTGCAGCATAGTCAAAAGTGTATTTATATTTACATTCAAAATATACCCACAGAGCGATATGAATAAAAGGAGGTGTCGGGTGTATATCCATAAGAGAGCACCCAAACGACAAAAATAACCAAAGCCACATCTAAAGTTTAACACAATACAATAAACCATGTGCAACAGTCCACAAAACACCACACATGAGATCAAAGATCAATTAATACGAAACTATGTAAAACCCGTGTTTAAACACAAGTGCACTGCAAGGAAAGGCAGTTCATGCTCAACAATAAAGAGTTCGGTTATAAGTAACATTCGCTAATGTCAATAGTCAGTTCATGCTCAACAATAAAGAGTTCGGTTATAAGTAACATTCGCTAATGCCAATAGGCAGTTCATGCTCAACAATAAAGAGTTCGGTTATAAGTAACATTCGCTAATGTCAATAGGCAGTTCATGCTCAACAATGAATAGTACGGTTATAAGTAACATTCGCTAATGTCAATAGGCAGTTCATGTCAACAATAAAGAGTTCGGTTATAAGTAACATTCGCTAATGTCAATAGACAGCTCATGCTCAACAATAAAGAGTTCGGTTATAAGTAACATTCGCTAATGTCAATAGTCAGTTCATGCTCAACAATGAATAGTACGGTTATAAGTAACATTCGCTAATGTCAATAGTCAGTTCATGCTCAACAATAAAGAGTTCGGTTATAAGTAACATTCACTAATGTCAATAGTCAGTTCATGCTCAACAATAAAGAGTTCGGTTATAAGTAACATTCGCTAATGTCAATAGGCAGTTCAT